AGATCCACCTTCCTCTGCCTCCGAGTGCTGGGATTAAAGGCATGTGCCACCATGCCCAGCTCTCTCTTCTGTTTCTACAGAGGCTTGTAGTGCCAGTAACTCCAGCTCCAGGGGATCTAATGCCTCTGGCCTCTGTGAGCACCTGCACCCACATGTCCATATCCACATGTACACACACACATATACACATAACTTAAAAGTGTGAAATGATGATTAAAAATAAAAATATAAAAGAAATTATGAAAAAATCCTTTTCTGAAAAATGTCTCTGGGTTCCATCCCGAAAGCCCCTCAAAACCCTGAATACCTCCTGCTGCTGCCTCCACTGGCAGGATGAGCTCTAGCATCGAAGCTGATCACCACGCCCCTCTGCTTCAGGTCACTGAACTGCTTTTCCAAGTACCTGCAAAATCCCTGAAAATAGCCCAGAGGTTAAAAGCACATATTTCATATATATCACATAAAAATCAGCCCAAAATTATATTTTCCCTACTTTCCTGAAAGGTGCTCAGCCCTGAGCATCCTTGTGTCTTATGGAAAGCATTCAAGCATCAGTGAGTCAGTCACTGCAGAGTAGAGTGTCTAAGGACCACTCCAAAGGGAGGCCGGTGGAATTGGATCACATATAAACTGTCTATTCATCATGTTTTCAAAGGACTCAGAACTACACACACTCCTGAGGCCCAGTTCAGAAGAGATCCATTATTTTAGAGAGAAGATGGCCCAAAGGTGCCTAAGAACATCCCTAAGCCACATTTCCTCATTTCTGGAAATCAGAGTTGAATACCATGTTCAGTCTATTGAAAGAGAAGGTCAGCGACAAATGGTGGGGTTTATATTGCCACAGCCATCTTTGAATAATCCAGTTTGTCACACTGACTGTGAGGCCTGATTGTCAGGGCTTCTCTAGATTGCAAATTAAAGGACTGAACATGGTAGGAATAAGTTTCGCTGTTTGAGTCAAAGCTCATTCATAACAATCCAGTTTCCCACTGGCATACTTAGATGTTCCTATTTCCTACCATCACTTCACTCAACAGGTCTGTATAAGAACAAAATCTCCTCAAGGGAATCTGTCTTATTTGTCAATTCACCATGCCTGACAATCAGTAGGCATTCAATAAATTTGTTGCATAGCTGTCTGGGTAGATAGAAAGCTAATGAATTTTTAAATAAGGACCCCACAAGCCTCATTTTACAGATTAAACAGTGGATCTACTTCCTCACATCCATAATTAAAACAAATTAAATCTATCAGCTGCCTCAGGAAATACATCAGGAGTAACCAGCAATGACCAAATCCTAGTACCTGTGTGGTCTGGATGATGGTCAAGTCATTCATTCTCGAAATCCCAGCTCCCATAGGAGCTCGAAGGCCAGCTGTCCCAAACTCCATCCGGGCCCCAAAGCATTTCTGCAGCTCTTCATTATTACCTTCAGCAATGAGCTGTTTCACTGACTCTGAAGTTAAGGGATTCTGAAAGACAGACATGGATGTTTGAGGCACAGCTTGGATGGGAGAAGGATGGAAAATCTGCAAAGGGCCCCTCCTCAACACACACACACACAATTCTAACCTCTAGGCACAACCTGTATATCTACAGGCTTTTGCATTTTCTGGTGTTTTTTATAGTATAATGCATTATTTTCTTTCCAACTGAGGTAAGCAGTTTTAGAGGAAACAAACAAGGTGCTGTTTTAGAACAGATACCTAACATGTACAGGGAGATCCCAGATCCATCACTTACAAACCCATGCTTGAGAAGGCTAGAGTTTTCGGAGTACTTAGTTTCCCCATCTATAAAAGGAGAACTAGCTAGAACCTCTCTTGTGCAATTTTCAACATTTTAAATTCGTCTCTCTGCCTGACACTGAGTTATGATGTTCATCTTCTTCCTTAAGGTCCTCAAAGTCTTCCCAGGGTGGTAGGTCAGTCAATTTAACTAAACCCTTACTTTCTTGGTGCTTTACAGGTTTTTTTTTACAAAGTGTTTCTTTGTATCTGGTCAAGTGTCAAAGACTCTAAGTCAGGCCAGTAATAGCTGAAGGCCTTAAGGGGGGAGGGGGGAGGTGGAGAGAGACAGAGAGAAACTGAGTGGTTTGCTTAAACTACATGATGAACATTAGCCTAGTGTCTTTTCTGCTACATTAATGCAAACAGGCCCAAGCATGAATCATTTAAGTCCACCATACATTGACTTGTTTTCTTTGTGCAACAATTGCAGGAGATGTTAAGATTGGAGAAACAGAGAGATTACCTAACTGCACATGAACTTCTACACTAAGCATTGAAGGAATACTGTGGAGTAAGCACTTTACTCCTGTGCTTCCAGGCATCATTCACTAAAATGAACATTGGGCAAGATAAGGCCCCATAATTAAACTTTGAAATGCAGTTGCAATAAAACCTTGGCTTCCTGTAATCAAGCCTGTGGTTCCAGATTGTTCCAGATTCAACATGAACCTGGACCCACCTTTTGACTAAAAATAGATCCCAATCACAGAGAACAATCTTACCCATTAAACTGTCAGGTGCCCCCAAGGAAAGGCTCAGAGCTGGTATACAAAAGGAGCTCAACAAACACCTGCTGAGTGGATGAGAAAACACAGACTTCCTGGCCACACCCAATGTCCAGGGCTTCTCTGAGCTCTACTGCAGATTTCAGAAGTCCTAATTGACCTTGGGTATCTAGAAAAGACTCAGCAGCCTGAGAGAACAAAGCAGAGAGATAATGAAAAGTCAAGAGAGCAGCAGAGGTGAGGTCAGACCTGGAAGTGATGGAAACTGACAGGAGAGGGAAGCTTAAGGTGGAGATGCAATGGCAGGTGCCATGCCATCCATCAGAATATGCACACATACATCCGCTTACAACCACATACACACAAACACATTCATATAACACACACACACATTCACACCACACACACATTCACACCACACACACATTCATACCACACATACACAAACACGCGTGCATGCACATGCGCGCAAGAGAAAGAGAGAGAGAGAGAGAGAGAGAGAGAGAGAGAGAGAGAGTCACCACACACACCCCCTCTGACTGGGAAAAGAACACTGAAACATCTTCAAAGGAGGAATAGACAATCTCCCTCCACCTCTACCCATTCTAGGTACCATTCCTAGACAGATTTCTGGTTTTCTTTTATGGAAGGTGATGACTATGCCCAAGTCTCAACTTGTTGAGTTGGAGAGGTGCCTAGGAGGGCAATATTGCTCACTTCTGGGGTATCTGAAGTAGCTTCCAAACATAGTTAGACATGGGCTCTGACAGAATCAATGGGCCACTCCTTTGATGGATTCATAATACAGTGGCATCATGGAGAGGTGACAAAAGGTAGGAACAGGGTGCTAGTTGAAGCATAGGTTATTGGAACTTGTCACTAGGCAATATATTTTGCAGTGGCCTCTTCCTGACATGAGCTGTACCATGACATAAGCAGCTCTGTTACACCTCTCTACCACACCGGATAAAACCATCTCAAAATCTGAACAAAACAGTCCTTTCCCCTCTGCTTTAGTCTACTGCCGATGCTTAGTTAAGTGCTCCAATAGCCCAGGATACAGAACAATACTTCGTTAACTCTAGAGTTAGAAGAATCTACACAATGTATCAGAAATGGAAACAGTTTCCTTCCCTTAAGCATCCTGAGGTTAACTTTTCAGGAAAAAGAAAAAAAAATGTGCCTCAAGGAGTTGGCACTGGTATCCCGGAAACAGGATGGGTTGACATAGGTGTGAGTGTGGAATGGCCTTGCTGAGCCTTGCAACCTCTGTCCAGTTAACAAACGCTTCAGAGACCTATTATGTACAGGGTACTGTAGACACAGGAGGCAACAGGAACACCTAGCACCAGCTACATAATTTCCAGGGTCCAGTGAAAAAAAAAAGGGCCTATGTTTAACAATAGAGACTCTGAAAGCAGAGTTTTTAACTATAACTTAGGTCCTTCCCCTGGGCACTGGTTCAGTCTGTCTGCACGGGTCTCACCACCTGAAGTCAGCCCTGGACACCAACAGACAATACACAAACAAACCTGTAAGGAGTTGCCGATTTTGTTTCTTCCAGTCCCAGTAAGAGCCAGGAAGGAAGAGATTGGGCTGTTTAGAGAAAGTGTTTGTGAGAAGTAAGTTGCACTTCGGAGACAGGGAAGACCTCATTAAGCTCACACAGGACTAACAAAAAGAGAAACAAGGTCAACTGAACACAAGCAAAAGGAATATTATGGGGAAACACGAAAGCAGAGGTCGGAAAGAACTTGTAAAAGGCAGAGGAAGTGATGTCCGGAACTTGTCCTGACTGTTTCAGCCATAAGACAGTCTACAGGGGAAAGGTGCCGCTGTGACCAAAAAGTACCGTGTCACCGTCCCAGCGAGGCACATGTCCACTAGGAAAATCCTGGTCTGCCTGCCCCACCAGGGACCCATTAGGAAGCATGCGATCAGGAAGGGTGCTCTAGACTGTGGAGGGGTCCGGGGTCCGGGTCCCGGGAAAGGCGGGACAGAGGATTCTGGATGAATGAGGATGCTCAGCCCATCACAGAACGTCAGAAACCCTTTCGTGCCAGAACTATGCCGCGCCCTAGTCCCGCTATGTTCACCTCGCTCCGGCTCGCTCCTCTACCCTGTCTACCTGCCCGGCCGGCCACACAGCTGTCGCCGTCCCGCAACAGCCTTTTGCGAACAGACTCGGTGCGCGGGGCAGGGGAGGAAGGAAGCTGGGCCCGGCTACCCGAGGGACAAGCTACCGTGCCCGGGAACCCAGGGGCCGGCGATCGGCCTTTACCCGGTCCCAGCGCAGCCACTGAGCGGTCTCCTGCTCCAGTCGCGTGTCCATGCCGGAGCCACTGACTCCCGGAGCTGGTATCGGTGTCGCCATTGCCTCCGCCATCCCGCCGCAGCCACAACCGAGTGGAGGAGGCTGGGTCACCCTTCCGGCAGGGCGGGAGAGGGCGGGGAGAGGGCGGGGACAGCGGCGTAGACAGAGGGCCTGCTGGAAGAGGGCGTGCAGGTCCGCCCGACTCGGGTTTGTCCTTACCGGTGCTCCTCCGGGTTGGGTTAGGCTGCCGGGCCTGCATGGTGGCAAGCGGAGCAAGAGGCTGCCTCACCCTAGTCTTCTAGGCATACCGAAAGTCCTTCATCATGTGTGCATTGATGCCCATCGTGTCTGGGATGCTGGGCTGATTGCTTTCGGAAGCGGAGGAGGCAGATCTCAGTGAGTTCGAGGCCAATCTGGTCTACATGGTGAACACCAGACCAGCTCGTGTTACATAGTGAAACCCTGTCTCAAATTTTTAATTAAATTAAAAAAGAGTATAACAGAGGGAGAAAAATATCTTGAAAAAGAAGAGCCAAATGGGGGAGTAAATCAAATAGACCAGAGAACCACAAGGGAATTCAGAAACGAGCCCACACTTGCAGAGACAGTTTGTGTCAGCGGTGGTGCTGAAGAGCATCCGGAAGGACTAACTGTAATTTCAGGGTGCTGGGTTAACTGTACAAAGAAAAAGTCGACTCACCCGCCCAGCACACCTGGGCATGAGGAAACACAAGCAAGAATGTTTCTGAGCTGCATGTAGAGCCTCACTCCTGCAATCTTGACTCCTGACCAGTGGCGGGGCTGGGGCAGGATTGCTGTGAATTCAAAGCCTGACCTAGGCAGTGAGTTCCTGGGGGGTAAGGTGTGGGGGCACGGGACATGACACGATGACACCGAGACAGGACAGGGACGGGAAGGGACGACAGTTAAGAACATTGACTTCTCTACCAGAGGACCCGGGTTTGTTTTTCAGCACTAACATGGCTGCTTACATCCAAAAGAAGCTCCAGTTCCAGGAGATACAGAGTCCTCTTCAATCTAATTTTTTAAAAGTTTCTAGAACCACTAGTCACAAAAAGCTCCAATCAGACACACGCAGATGGCAACAATAGAATGGATAATTACATAGTGGTATATCCACACCAAATCATATAAATAGATTATGGCAACTCAGCTATGAGTTGCACACACCAGTGAGAATGAACAGCTGCTGCATACAACCTCATGGATGAAGGTCATAAACATCACATGGAGTGAAAGAATTCAAACCTGCCAGCTCTGACATTGAGGAAGAAAAGTGTGAGGAAAGAAAATAAATCAGTGGTTTCCAGAACCGAAAGTGGGGGTTCACTACAAAGGTCAGTGGGGATTATGGTAAGGGACAACTTTGGGTATTCACTGAGTTTGTGGCTGCCTGAATCCAGGTATTCATCAGAATTCAAAACTGTGTCACTCACTGTAAGTTATTTCTAATGTTAAAGTTCTTTAAAACATTTATCTATGGAGTGGGTGTGTGCTGTGGCTTACATATGGAAGTACAAGGATAACTTCAGGGAGTTAGTTCTCCCCTTCCACTGCATAAATCCTAGAGATTGAGTTCAGGTTGTCAGGCTTGGTAGCAGTGCCTTTACTTGCTGAGCCACCTCACTGGCTCATATAATAATTAAAAAAATATATTAACATTAAAAAGTACAAAGGAGTTAAATCTATGGACATTAGGAGACTGACTATGTTTGGAAAGGAGGAATTCTGTGCCTGCTCCCTGTCCCCCCCTCCATCAGTACTGAAAATGGAGCAGGGCCTGGCTTGTGCCAGCCAAGCACTTCGCATGAGCTAATCCTCAATCCTACCCCCTTAGTCCCCACTTTTTTTGTTTGTTTGTCTTCTTTTGAGACAGGATTGCCAAAGGTTGTCTGATGTGGAATATTATTTTAACTATGCAAAGATGTGTTACATTTGTTTATGCTGTGGAATTTTACTTTAACTATGTGAAGGTGTGTTACATTTGTTTGTGCTGCATTTGTTAACAATGTAAAGATGTGTTGCAATTGTTTACACTGTGGAGTATTACTTTAACTATGTGAAGGTGTGTTACATTTGTTTTTGCTACCTTTGTTAACAATGTAAATATGTGTTACATTTGTTTATGCTGCCTTTGTTTAACTATGTAAAGATGTATTACTGTTTCACCTTGCCTGCCTAAGGAACCTGATTGGTCTAATAAAAAGCTGAATGGCCAATAGCTAGTCTGGAGAGAGATAGGCAGAGCTGGCAGGCAGAGAGAATAAATAGGAGTAGAAATCTAGGTTAAGAGGTAGAGAAGAAAGAGAGGGACATGTTCAGGGCAAGAAGCCAGGCAGCTGCCAGACAGACAGACATAAGAAGCAGTGAAAGTAAGATATACAGAAGGAAAAAAAGTAAAAAGCGCTGAGGCAAAAGGTAGATAAATAGAAACAGGTTAATTTAAGTTAAAAGAACTAGCTAGAAATGAGCCTAAGCTAGGCTGAGCATTCAAAAATAGTAAGGCTCCATGTCATGATTTGGGAGCTGGTTAGTGGTCTAAAAGAAAAAAAGCCTGGTACAGTTGTCTAAGTTGGTCTTAAACTTGCTATAGTTATAGCTAAGACTAGCTTGGAACTTGTGAGTCTCCTGCCTCAGCCGCCCAGAGCAGCTGCAATTATAGGTATTTGCCCCCCCTTGCTTGTACCTATGCTATCTCCTAAATGGAGATGATATAGATGCATTCACATGTTATTAATAATTCACATACCTATAGTCTTTTTGTTGGTTGCTTGGTTTGGTTTTGGGTCTCCTGTAACCCAGAATAGCATTCAACTGAATATGTAGCCAAGTATGGCCTTGAACGCCTGCTACCCCTGTCTGTAACTCCCAAGTGCTGGGATTTTAGGCATACACCACCATACCCAACTGCAGTTTTAAGAATTGTGTGTTTTCTTTATGTTCTTCTGCAAGCACTAGATAAAAGCACACACACACTGGGACTGTATGGTATCTGTACAAAGGAGCTAATGCATAGTTACTATCTGGTAACCAAGCTGGCAGGCAAATGAGGAAGTCTTGAGGGTAGATTAAAAGACTGCTGGTGTGAGGAAGCTTCTCAGAGTTTAGTAGAGACAGGCAAGCAGAAATGGCTGGCCTTGGGGATGGCAGCCTGGCAAATGCTTTTTAGACAGAATGTGATGCTGTCTCTGAGCCAAAAGGCTGGGAGATGGAAGTGGAGAGGAAGAGTAGAAGAGAGGATGTTATCCTAGCCAGGTTTCTGCGGCCACAGCTGAATGCTGAAAGACCCCTGGGATCTGTGTCCAGTACCTCAACGACCCCAATCACCGGTTGGAGGCGAAAGCTTGATGCAAACAGCACGAGGCTTTATTGTAGTTGTTTAACACTCTAACCTCATGGTAGCTGGGGCCTTTCATCCATCCACCATGGCGGATGGCTAGGAAAGACGGCGAGAAGCCACTACTACATAGAGATCTTATAGGGCTCAGGATTGGTGTGCCTCCAGGCTTGCCCTGTGTTGATTGATCAACTGGTTGTTATGGCCCATTGGCCCTCCCAGGGTGGTTGCTATGCTCTGCACCTCATTGCTGTGCACTTGTCTGTAAAGCACACCCAGATCCGTAAAGCATAGTGCCATCAGCTAACTTCTGATTGGCTCCTTGCCACGAGGAACCTGTGCCACTTAGTGACCAAGGCAAAGTCAGGCAAGCACATATTAAGCTGTTAAGGCTGCCGAAATGGGGAGCTGGTCCCTTCAAATGCCACAAACTGGATATTTTATAAATAACGGGGGTGTCTTTTGCTTGTGGATCTGGAAACCAGGAAGTCTGTTTCCTTCTGAACTTTAGGGAAACTTGTTGAAACCATAGCAAGAAGTCAGCCTTTCCCATCTTCATCCTGCCATCTCCTTTCTTGGCACCATCCACACTGTGATGGAAGTTGTAAGGTACAGAGTCAGATACCAAGGAGATCTCACTCACCTTGTTTGTCTTTCATATGTGAAGGCCAGATTCACACCAGTGTTTGCATTCTTTGTTGCCTTCTGTCAGGATTGGAGTGGGGTGTTTCTCATCAGTGAATGTTCAGTGCATCAGAGGTCATCATATTGGTCCCTCCATGATGGACAGTGTGCTGTCTAATCTGATGTCAACTTGATACAGGCTAGAATCATGTGAGGGGAGAGAACCCCAACTGAGAAAATGACTCTGTATGGAACAGTAGGCAAGCCTGTAGAACATTTTCTTAATTAGTAATTAAGGGGGAGGGGGCTCTGTCCATTGTGGATAGGACCCCCTCCTGCTCTAATAGTCCTGGGTTCTCTAAGAGAGCAGGCTGAGCACGCCGGTAAGCAGCACCCCTCCATGGCCTCTGCATCAGCTCCTGCCTCCAGGTTCCTGCCCTGTTTGAGTTCCTGTGCTGACTTCCTTCAGTGACGGACTATGGATACAGAGGTGGAAGCCAAATAAGCCCTTTCCCCCACAGCTTGCTTTTGGTTTATGGTGTTTCATCACAGCAACAGTGACCTTGTCTAAAACAGATGGCAGATGACTTACTTCTGAGTCAAAAGGCTGGGAGATGGAAGTGGAGAGGAAGAGTAGAAGAGAGGATGCTATCCTAGCCAGGTTTCTGCGGCCATAGCTGAATGTTGAGAGACCCCTGGAGGCGCAGGCCCCCACGATCTGGGTCCAGGACCTCGACGACTCCAATCACCGGTTGGAGGCGAAAGCTTGAAGCAAACAGCATGAGGCTTTATTGTAGTTGTTTAACGCTAACCCCATGGTAGCTGGGGCCTTTCATCCATCCACCATTTGGCTCAGATCCCTGCTGAGTTGAAAACAAACAAAAGGGGAAAGAGGCAAAGTGGTGAGAGGGGCAGCAAAATGTTTTCATTCCTTTTATTGTATCAGGAATTATGGGCCCAGAGTGACATCTAATAAAAACTATTTTAACTTCATCAGCTACACCACAATTCTCTGTAATTCTCCATAGAACCAAGAAAAGAAATCACATAGTGTGTTCAGGCAGAGAGGAACTATAAACAATGGTATCACCAAACCATACCAATTCTCCCTTGCTGAGAAGACTGCCAAGTTCTTAAGAACTATGCTGAAAAATCAACGCACAACAGACAAGGTTCACCACACCTACCCACTTCCTGTGTGAAGTAGAAAACACTCCTTGGGGGCTATGTTGGGGGTCTCTAAATGCAGAAACCCTTCTTGGGGTGTGTTATACCAAACGTACAAACACTGGATGTCTTTATGTCCTGACAGTGACACCATAGTGACCTGAAGATGCTGATTTTCCACAGGTAGTTTTTTGTTTGTTTTGTTTTTTAAAGAATGCCTTTAAGACTCACAACTGGGTAATGACAGAACCCATATTCTCACACCTAGTCTCCTAATTTCCTACACAGACAGCCAATCCTCTGTTTCATTCAATTCATTTTAGAACGCATCTATGGAAGGAAGTTCTGTGAACTCTGGTGGCCTGCTTGTATGTGATAGTAGCTGGCACTTCATGATAAACCAATACCACAGTCTCTGACACTGACAGCATGAGGAGATGCTGAGTGATTTCATTTGTTTGTCACGTTCTCCAGCTGCCGAGGAGCTGTTTCTCATACGAATATCCTAATTTCTGTGAAAGTGTCCCAAGTGACCCAGCACTTTGTCAGCAGTTGCCAGCCCCCTTTTGAATCCACCCAAAGCACTGTTCTTCCAAAGCTCTTTAATATGGGAAATTTTAAATATTTGCTAACTTTGATCTCCAGGTAACTATCATGCAGTCACATAATGATCACTTTGTGGCCAATCTTGCCTCATCCACTTACTGCCTCCTCCTGAATTACTCTGAAGGAAGTTCTACTAGACACTGTATCATTTTGTCTACAGGTATTCCCTTTTATGTTTTCCTGAAACCTAAGGTCACTTTAACAGTAACCATAGCATCATGGTTCCATCTAGACACTTCCAAATTAAACTCATTATCCTGTAATGCTACCAAATGTCTATTTAGTGTCCACATTTCTATCCCCTCTCATTTAAAGCTTTGCTTCCAGTTTGCTTGAATTAGGAGCCAAGGAATCTTCCCCTTGGTTGATACTTTCAAGTTTCTTTGAGTCAAAGGCTTAGTTTACTGGAATTCATCTGTGAAAAAATGGTCCCTTGGCCTGAAGTCTGGGTTTGGCTCACTGCCTCTGTTATCCTTTGGCTAGTTTCTCTCTTGCCTCCATTTCCTGGAAATTCGCTTGTTACAATTTTCTCTTTATGCCAGAGACCCTAAACTGTGAACTCTCCAGGGGCAGAAATGGTGTCTTATTTGTCTTTGTCTACTC